TTACATTATTGACATATTATACAAGCATCATATCATATACCAGTTAGGTAATACTTGATGCACTTCAGATTTAATTAACTTTAAAAGAATTTATAAATGTTAATTTAACAAAGTTTTTAAACTTACTTTTTGTAGTAAATTATTGGAATTATATTTCTTGGAGCATGATGTTACAATTTTATCAAGGCAAAGCAAACTTTACTTAATCTCCATTTAAGATAAATATGAGATAACTATAATTAATCTTTACCATAAACTTTATCACAAAACAGTTATAATACTAAATCATTTCACACAGATAATCAGTTATCTGCAAAAATAATATAATCCAAATGCTACTTATTTTAAGTTAGCTATTATGTTCAGATTTAGAGTGATTTAAAACTTAAAGGGAGCAAATGATTATGTTACTAAAAACTAGATTTTATAATTTTATAAGCCTTAACAATTTACTTTCTAAATAACAATAAACATTAATAAATAAAGTAGCATAATAATCCACACTACTTCCTCTTAAAGAGAAAATTTCCCATTTTCTCATTTAATGCACTGCCTTAAGGCCATGAATGCTGACAATTTCTGATGGTTTACAGGCTTACCAGTTATAAGTTCTTCTAAAAGGAATGTGCAAGTCGGCCACACTTGGCAATTTATGTATTGTGGTTTTGTGGTAGGTACTACATTTTCTAAGGATCAAGAAAAGTGCAATAAATCTAAGACGGAATGGTTATACTTCATCAAAACATATTATATAACTGACTACCTTTTGTGTATTTTATAATTCATATCTCATTATTGTTTTGCAATATACTATCGTTCACTGCCCTCTTTCACTCTAATTTTTGGATAATCTATCCTATGCATAAATATCATCTATAAAAGAAAACAGGAGCTAAGTATGATAATAAGTTCCTATTTATGGGTAAAAGGGAAAGAGGAGAAAATAAAAGCACCCGAAGGAACCAATTTTCATCTTACATCAACCATAAACATTTATAACAAACCAATTAACTCAATGATGTGTAGAAATTTTAATAATTTGGTTAAATATTAATTTAAAATGGCACCTTAATATTCAGAGAAAGTTATAAGAAGTATCACCGGCTGGGCGCGGTGGCTCACGCCTGTAATCCCAGCACTTTGGGAGGCCGAGGTGGGCTAATCACCTGAGGTCAGGAGTTCAAGACCAGCCTGACTAACATGGTGAAACCCTCTCTCTACTAAAAACACAAAAATTAGCTGGGTGTGGTGGCAGGCGCCTGTAATCCCAGCTATTTGGGTGGGTGAGGCAGGAGAATCACTTGAACTCGGGAGGCAGAGGTTGCAGTGAGCCGAGATTGCACCATTGTACTCCAGCCTGGGTGACAAGAGCGAAACTGTCTCAAAAAACAACAACAAAAAAGTATCACCCAACTGATCCCCATGCAGTTTCAATCCCTTACTTGATCCCATGGTTTTTCCTGTTCATCTTATATAATTCTGCTCATTTTCTTTCTAATGTCATGGCCCTCAGCTGACTTTTTCCCATAGTCCCATAGAGGACTACTGGCCAGCTGCTAAGGGAGAGGGGTGTATGTGTGTGCACGCGCACATGCGCGTGCAGCATGTACAATAGCACTAGGAGTATGATAATTAGTCCACAAGTTAGACAAAGTGTACATGGATATTTGCTACTACTAATAAGGTACCAGAGTTCTAGCTTTCTATCCATCTATCCATCCACCCATCCACCCCTTCCTCCCTCTCATCATCTATTCAGCTATATGAATTAAAGCATCTAATCTAGAAAAAACACACATGTGTTTAAAGTGGCGTAAACAAGAATGGTCATCCCAGTGTGTGTTTCTAAAAACAACCTCAATGGCCATCTAGGAGGAATAAATAAGTACACTATTGCATAGCCACACTAAGGAACACCATGCAGCTTTTTTGTTGTTGTTACTGTTATTTAGTGGAATATGATATCCAAATAATTATATGGACCTATAAGATATTATTGATTGAAAAAAAATCAAGATGCAGATTCCATGTATAACACCTTTTGTGTAAAAATAAAGATACACAAAAGATGTATTACATTAAAAAGCTTTTAAAAAATGTTTTGTCCCTTCCTATGATGCTGAAAATAGATGTATTTTAAACAGATACTTTTATATGACTGTATAGGAAATATTCTGAAAGTATACACACACTAATTATTCTGGAGAGGCGGCTGAGTAGAATGACACATGGATGAAAGGTATTCCAAGGAGGTTTAGTCATCTGTTCCAATTTTTATAATAACACATATTCATGCATTACTATAAAGTTATTCCTTACATATTTCTCCACAACATTACTTGTATTCTGATATGTAGATAGAGTAAGAATAGAACAGAATGAGTTATTTGAAAGTAACCGTATTAGCCAACCACAGGTACTTTCAAATAACTCAAAGCCTGTGTTGTCTATGCTAAAACTGTTATGGATGTGCAGTTTACAGCTGCAGCATTGACCAATCATCAGGATGCTTGATAGATGAGATTTACAGTTACTTTCTAACTTAAATGTTACTTATGAATTTATATATGTAGGTCCATCCATGATTAACCATGTCTAAGCTTAGTGTCATAATTTGTAATCCTTGTTTAAAACAAAGAAGCCAGGTGACTTTTTTTTTTTTTTACCTAAAGGCTACCTCAAGGTGAACTATTTATTACTCAAGCACTTAAACTAAGTATTACACATCTACCAATGAGATGGTTTAATTAATTAAAGGAAAGAGGTAAGGGGTGGTAGAAAGAGAAGTAGGCTTATTGTTACTATTAAATGTAAGAGTCCCCCAATAAACACAGTATCTTTATGGAAAGTTATTGTACTATCATACACAATGGTGGACAAGACACACTGCTTTCTCTGAGCCTAGAGTATAATCACTTTGGTTCTACACTTACTATGAGCCAAGTCCTGTGCTAAATGCCTTAAACATGTATTATTTCAGTTACTTTTTACAATATTCCTGTAGTGAGGATTAAGTGAGAAACTGAGGGTAAAACTCTTTACACAATGCCTGACAGAGTAAATGTCCCTTATTAGGCATTACTACTGCCTAACCTCTAACTTCATCAATTCAACCTTCACTCTACAGTAGTCAGCTTTTCAAAAGATTCACTGATTTAACACGTACCAGTTCTGAGAAATCTTCAACGGATTCCCATTCCTACTAAAGTCCAAACTCCTTCATCTGACATTCAAAAACATGTCATAGCTCCATCTCCCATCACACCCCTCTATCCAACTATTCTCTATGCATACTGGACTGCTCACAATTTCTATAATATATTAAATACTTTCATCTTCATAACTTAGAAATACTCTTGCCACTTTCTCTAAAGAATTCCATCTATCCTTCATGGTTCAGTAAAAACATTACCTTCTCCACAAAGCTGATTCTCTCCAGTACTCTTAAGTATGCTGTATGCATCTCTATTATGACACTTTCATATTACTTGTCTGTAAGCTCACTAAAACAAGGTTTATTCATTTCTACATTCCTGCTGTGTCTAGCATACTGTTGTACACACAATTTACACTGAATAATGGAGAAAAATTTCACCATTAATAGCACCACTGAAAATAACTAAGACTTGATATTCATATGTAATTCCTTCTTTAATTTCTACTTCAATTCACACAACAGTGGTAATGACCCTAACTAGTAGCTCCCTTTCCAGCTCTAATTAAACACTCAGTGACACATAATTCTTTCAACACCAAACAAATAATGTGGCACACAATCAGTGAACTAACACTGACTAAATTGCTAGATATTAAATTCATTATGCATTAATACTGCAGAAAGGGATATAAGGAAGGAGTTAAGTACATGTTAGAATATTAGAATTGCCTTTTAAATTCACAATTGGGATACAAAATTCCTCTTCAATTTTGGGTAATCTCTAACCTAGATGAACTGAACTTTAAAATCAAAAGACATGTATGATTATCTATCCATCTAGTAAATAAATTCATCTTTCAGGGATTCTGTTTCTGCATCTATATAAATTGGTAAAAGGAACATCCTTAAAAGCTAATTGATCTTGGCCCTCTAGCCATTCATGAGTAGCTTTCTCTTGGTTAAAATCTAAGGCATTAGGAAACCTCAGTTTTTGGTTTTGCTGTTACACTTCAGGATGATTCCGACTATTTATAACTTCCTTGGCTAGCTTCTTTCGGGTAATCAAGTAAAAAAATTAGCAAATATTAGTTATACACTTAGTTTAAAAATATAGCTAAATTCTTCAGGTAAAGTACTATAAAACATTGCTTGGTTCTATCCAGAAATAATATGTATAATTTCCAATTACTGAAGAATATATTAACTTTTTTTTTTTTGAGACAGAGTCTCACTCTGTTGCCCAGGCTGGAGTGCAGTGGTGCAATCTCAGCTCACTGCAACCTCCGACTCCCTGAGTTCAAGTGATTCTCATGCCTCAGGCTTCCAAGCAGCTGGGACTACAGGCGCAGGCCACCGTGCCTGCCTGATTTTTTTGCATTTTTAGTGGAGGCGGGGTTTTGCCATGTACAAATAAATTAACTTTTTAGGTAAAGGCATTAGTAGCGTAGAATAGTTGAGGATCTCAGGAAGAGGGAAGTAGTTTCATTAATCAAATTCCCTATACTGCTTGTACTCAATGTAAACCTTTTAAAGGAAGGCAGTTTTGTTGTTTTTCAATTTTTTTTTTGTACGTTTATAGGGCTTCACTCAATAGCATTTCAAATGTATTTTTCTTATATTTTTGCATTAGTTTGCTAATACTAGCAAACAAGTTAAATTAGAAATATTCAGGCAAAAGGTATGTTAAACTCAGTACTAGCTGCATGTTACCTAGATGTTAGTGTTACTATACTTTAAAGCAAGATGACTATACATTTTGAAAGTCAAGTTTTAGTTACTATAGATTTAATAATAAGGCAGTTACACAGGCTAAGCTTGACTGGTGCCATGGACTTTAGCATACCTGGAAATAGAAAAATTCAAATTGTAGCTGTTCTTGGTTGGCCCATTGCCATTTTTGCAGCTTACAAATTGTTAATTAAGTAACTGCAGTGAGCTCATCTCTACAGGATACTTCTTTTCCAGGGCAGGTCCAGGAACTGGGTCTGGAGCCTTGAAAGCAGAAGAGAAACTAGAGTAAACTAGAGGTAGACAGAACAAGAAATGTGACCAGATAACATTATGAGATGTAATAGAAGTAAGGTAGTCCCCAAAGTCTCACATAAAATATTCTGAAGGGAAAGTGGGTCTCTTAAATTGCAAGTTACCAAGGATGCGGTTTACTTAAGTCATTATTTTAACCTACCCAACGTTATTCTGGACTCTCAATTCCAGCAACTCAAAACAGTAGTTTTTATGAAATCTCTAATGGCTTTTAGCAACAGACTGTCCAACAGGAGACCACAGAGTAACTCTAACAGAAAGAGAAAAACAACAAAATCCAAAATTGGAAATGTAAAGTCCTCATTTTCAGGTCATTTTGCTCTTGCCTTTCACTATCGTATTTCCAATCATCTTCTAAATGCTCCCCTGATTTCCTACGATCAATTCCCAGGGGTTTGTAAAGAAATGCTTTAGATATATCCAAGCAATGAACTAAATGTTAAGTTCCAATTTTTAAAAATACTTGGTAATTCTTAAAGAGGGAGGCAAAGAACAGCTCATAAGATGTGGTTCTTAAACCGCACTGGAAAATCTTTTTTTTCCATTACCAAAATAGATTCAATGGATTTTTTTTAAAAAAAATTTTTGTTAGGGCCATATAAAACAAAAACCAAAAACAAACCTGCAACTATGAAGGTTACAGAAATGATAAGATATTACAAATGGTAGAATTTGTACTATTTGATTACTAAACCTGGAAATGATGTCCTTATGCTTGGTAGGCTGGTACCCTTAGGAATTTCTCTAAGAAACTAATCCCACAGGAGTCAAAATAAATAGAATTTTCCTCTACTCTCAAATGATCATAGATATTGTGAAAATTATACTAGGACAAAAAAAAAGTAGTGAAGACAAAGATCCAAACACTGAACTCCCTGCATTTCCAGTAACTAGCAATATAAACAGCAAAACAGAGTAAAAGTAGTTTTTGTGAAAATATAAATTTCCCATCTATTGTGATGGCACATTATAGGACAAAGAATTCTGCGAGACAGAAGTCTAAGTTCAGATCTGACTTCAGTATGGCCTTGAATTTAAACTGCAGAAATCTCCCTTCTATTAAATGGAATATCACTACCCACCCTGCTGTACTGTCCATGAGATTTAGCTAAAGTGTATGTAAAGCACCTAACAGTGTGGCACATATAGGCATTCAGTATATTTTTCTGCATTATTAAAGAATGTAACATATTTTCCTGTTCTAAACATATGGGTATACTTAAGTTTTCGTTTTCACAAATGCTAAAGCAAACAACTAGGTAGCAGGCTTTCAGTTTAAATAATTCAACTATAATCACATTCTAAGACATATAACTGATTATCTTCCAGAATAGCCACAAAGTGAGTATATGAGAGAGGTCAATTTTGAGAGCTGATGATAAATAAAAATGTAACAATTTATATTTAGGATATAAAAAGAGTCAGTAGTAAACAAGACGACATGGAATTCTTCTCCTTCCAAGTAAAGTATAAAATACTTCTGTCAACACACCTCTTGTTAAAAAGTTATATATAGATCCAGTATAATGCTTTTTAAAAAAACATACAAGCAATCAATGCATGACATAATTTGGTCTTTAAGTCAGGGAATGTTTTAAGGGCAAAGAAAAGCCTTATATATGGGCAATAATTTTCCTCTTACTGATAGAACAGTAGGTTCCACACAAAATTATTATTTACCAAATAAGGCTCAAAGATCAGATTACACCCTCTCTAACATTACCAAGTAACAGATCAAGTATCACAAGCCACAAGGAATTTTTAAAAATGATTTCCTTATAGTCGTTTTAAGTGTATTCTCTGCCACAACTTTATTTTAAAATAGTTTTAAAAAGTTTACATGGAAGTGTCTTATTCAAAATATACTAAAACTTAGATAAGACTGAATTACTGTATTCCTCAGAAAGAAGGGGAAAGGGTATTTAAGTTTGAGGATTTCCATTCAGTAACCCATATGGATAGGTTTTCAGTTTAAAGACCATCAAGTAAAAAAACCACTTCAGATAAACCATTACTTTTTAAGTTTTTTAACTAGTCATCCTACTGAAATCTCATTACTTACAGCAATATTTCAGTTGATTCTCTTGGCTTTTCTAGGTATACAATGTTATTTACAAATTATAATGAATTTGCTTTTACTCTTTTAAAAAAACATATTGAGTAATTTTTACCCATTATCAAAACTCCAATAAGCAGCAGAGTTAAAACCAGAAATGTATCTGTAGCTTTCTAACCTCATGTCCAAGGTTCCTTCTTTATTGTACTAGCTCGACATTACTAATACTTTTCTTTCTGAAAACTTCTTTTCCGGTCAACACTCTGCATTTTAGTTTCTTAGAATTCTTATTTCTATGCCTCTTATTAACATTTGCCAAAAGGATGTAGGTGTAAAGTTGTAACATTCATTCTCTCACTTGTTCCTCTGGCATCTTATTTACACTCACAGCATAATCTAAGGAGAATCTCCTTTAAATTGTAGTTTAAGCTTTTTATTCTACTTGATGAAACTTAAAAGATTCTGAATCATAGATCTGATGTTGAAAGGAGCCTTATAGATTATCTAGTCCAACACCCTTATTTAATAGAAGAAAAACAAAGTTCAAATAATACGTCAGTAGAATCTGAATAAAAGTTTAACACAGAAAAAAATTAGTCTTATTACTTATGAATTGTAAAGTAAATGCCTACAGTTACATAAAATATAAACAAAGTAATTAAACAAATTTCAAGAGTAATTATTGAGGGCAGGCATGGTGGCTCATGCCTGTAATCCCAGCACTTTGGGAGGCCGAGGCACGTGGATCACCTAACTCAGGAGTTTTGAGACCAGCTTGGCCAACACGGCAAAACCCCGTCTCTACTAAAAGTACAAAATTAGCTGGGCGTGGTGGTGCACACCTGTAGTCCCAGCTACTAGGGAGGCTGAGGCAGGAGAATCACTTGAACCTGGGAGGTGGAGGTTGCAGGGGGCCGATATTTCTCTTCAGCTACAACCCCCTCAGTGTGGTTTTCATTGCCTCCTCCAGTTTGGTTCCACCAGATCAGGGGTCATGAATCCCTTTGGCAGTCTGAAGAAAGCTACAGAGTCCCCCTCAGAGTGGTTTTAAATACATAAACTACAATACCTAAGATTATAAAGAAAACCAGTTTTACTAAAATATAGTTGTTTTTGAAAGTATGGTTTTAAATGCATAAAATAAAATATATATTACCAAGAAAACCAATTATACTGAAACAGTTATCAAGTGTTTTTAAAAACCTTGTATATGATATAGTTATACATATGCTTCTTTAGTAATACTTAATACAATAAAATCTAGCGGGAGTCTAACAAAAACCATAATTCTGAAGTAGTAATATGCATAAAATATATTTAGAGATATCAACTGTAAAGTAATCTGAAAATATCTGTGCTTTTTCTATTAGTAATAAAAAGATACAGGTACTGCTAATACTACTGTAGTCTGCTGCTTAAACTCTCATTAAAAGGAAATGCTGAATTTCAGTTCAAAGTTAATAAAAATATAAAGATGTCATTTTTTTTTTTTCTCATCTAAATGCATGCAGCCCTCTAAATTCTATCCCTGGATCCCTTTAGGGTCGTGCAGATTAAAACTACTCTATTAAACTCACCTGCTTCTATTTCCCAGCAGTCCCCACGCCCTTAGGAATCTGGGCAGGCTTGTCTGAACATGTTCAATCCACACTTTCCTTTCTTTGCTTACTATGCTACTGCCCTTGCTTAGAATGTTATGTCTTCAACTAGAGGCTTATCAAAATCTTAACTACCTCTTCAAAACCAATTCCAATTTCACCTTCTACTTGAATTATTTTTATCCTGCTTTAGCCCACATGGATGTTTTCCTAGAACTACTAATGTAGCTGTAGGTCAATGCTTTATGATTCAACATTTAATTATTTTCTTACATAGTTCTACTTCTGTGTCTCTACATGTAAGTTATAAGATCCCCGGAGACATGTGCTATGTGCTTATGTTTAGAACACTGCCTATACATAATGTAGGCACATATAAAGTACTCAGCAAGTGCCCCCAATAAATCAAGCACAGAAGATCATCTGTTTGGCAACTTTCAGCACCAGAAAATACATCAAGATAAGCCAAAAGTTCCACTAAGGAGTTAAAACAGACATAAATTATGCTTATAGTTCACCTCTATCAGAACCTAGATACTCCTATTTAATTAAGAACCCAGAAGCTTATTTACTAGGCAGCAATGAATTCCAAGTAATAAATCAAGGAAGGAGCACTAAAGTCAGCACGAGACAATAATTCATTCCAAACATATTGGTTAAGCACTACTACATGCCAGGCACTGTTCTAGAGTCTATGATTCAGTTCTCATATAGTAACTTAGTGCCAGGCCTTGGACTAGAACCTGGGGTTCCTGACTCATTCTGAAGCTCTGAAACAAAAAATTATTTCTATCTTCCAGAAAAGGTTTACTATGCAGGGTAAAAGGGTGGGGAGGGGAGGAGGTGTTACTATTCAGAAAGCAGCAAAGTATGTGAAACATTATAAAGAAATAGATCTGGAGGTATGAATATCTATATTTACCTACACACAATATATATAATATATTGTAAAATCTCTATAAAATCTCTAAAATAGATTTGGGGTAAGTTTCAATCATTTTATGTACTTACTACCTAACTATACTAAATGAATGAGGTGTTACTCTGCTTATTAATAGTTTAATCAGAAACACTTCATAAAATTGCATTTTTCTTCAAAGAGCCCTGCCAAGTTGCTTCGTTTATTTGATATAAAAATAAAACACTAGGCCAGGTATAGTGGCTCATACCTGTAATCCCAACACTTTGGGAGGCCAAAGCAAGAGGATCACTTGAGCCAAGAAGTTCGAGACTAGCCTGTGCAACACAGCAAAACCTTGCCTCTACAAAAAAATTAGAAAAAAAATATTAGCCAGGCATGGTGGCTGGTGCCTGTAGTCCCAGCTACTTGAGAGGCTAAGGTGGGAGGTTAAGGCTGAGCCCAGGAAGTTAAGGCTTCAGTGAGCTATGATTGTATCACTGCCCTCCAGCCTGGGTGACAGAGTAATACACTGTTTCAAATATATGTATGTATGTGCATGTGTGTGTACATATATATATACACACACACACACACACACACTTTTCTACCAATTTCCTGGAGGGTGGTGTGGTGGTAATGATGGTAGTAGGTATTATTCTAAATAATCTTAGTCTTTTTTCCCTGGGGAAACAGACCAAAAGAGGATAATGAGAATGTGGGTAGGAAATGAGGAATTGGTCTCCACACATTTCAAGCTCTACTGCTGACTGTGACTAAAAAAAAATTACTTTTCCTAAAGGGAAGTTCTTAGACTAATAGCAATGGAATTCAGTGAGTGAGTGAGGGAGGGAGGCGGAAGGGAGGGGTGGGACTGCAGCAAGTAAACTAATAGCCTGACAATACTATGCTGGCAACCTAAAGCTATCTTGTCCAAAACTCAACTCACTGCCTCCTACTCACTAATGTATTTCTCTGTTAATTATAAATGACATGCTTCTAAAGCTAGAAACTTCAGAGTTCTCAATTCTTTTCCTCTCCACATATAATCAATGGCAAAGTGTCACTGATTACTCCCACAAAAATTTCTCTATTCCACCACAATCTCCTTGTTCAAGTATCTGTTACCTGGGCAATCACCTAACACCATAACCTCTTGTCTGACTGCTTGTTTTACTCTTAAAAAGTTTTTTTTTTTTTTTTAAGCGACAAGGTCTTGCTCTGTTTTCCAGGCTGGAGTGCTGTCGTGTAATCATAAATATGCAGCCTCAAACTCCTGGGCTCAAGCGATCCTCTCAACTCAGCCTCTTGAGTAGGTAGGACTACAGGGGCACCTTACCTGCACCGCTAGTTTTTTTATTTTTAGTAGAGATGGGGTTTTGCTATGTTGCCCAGGCTGGTCTCAAACTCCTGGCTTCAGCAATCCTCTTGCCTCGGCCTCTCAAGCCACTGGTATTACAGGCCTCATGCCTGGCTAAGCCTTTCTAAACTGTATTCCACAGTGGTAACAAACTTGGCTAGCTTCCTAAAATACTGGCTGAATCATGTCACTTTCCTCCCTAAGAAAGGCAAGAGATTTTGTAGAGATAGGCTGTAGTGAGTTTCAGCAGAAGGTGTTGACACTGACGTAGGAAACAATGAAAAAAACAAACAAACAAACAAAAAAAAAAAAAGAAAAAAAGGCAAGAGAGAGGAGACCTGAGGATGAAGAACTTAAAGTCAGAAAAATTAGGCAGAGAAAATGCTGGGAAGAATAGTATCAAGAAAGCCAAATGAAGAGTTATAACAAAAATGATTATGAAGTTTAAAGTTTATTATTTTTATAATTTTATAGCAATAAATTTTCTATTAATAGCTTACATTTACTAAGTGTTAGGCAACTAGGTCAAATGACTTACAATGCATTCACTCATTTAATGCTCCCAATAATCATGTGAGGCAGGTACCTCTATATGAGACTCAGTTAACTACACAGTTCTGTCCTACTAGAAAAAGAATTATTTTATACAGTTCCCTTTCCTTAGTCTCTGAAATGCTTAATGCAAAGCACTTAAACATTCTTACTATGTTGGTGTCAACAATACACCAATACAAAGTTTATAAGAGAAAGACATTCTTCTTACAAACTTTACTAATTTGCCATGGACTAACACAACATATGTATCTGTACACACATATAGACATATAGACAGACACACACACACACACAATGGATCTGGAAATAAAAGAATATGTGGTTTTAAAAGTACTGAATCTCCTAATATTTAAATCTGCATTGGAATAATAAGGGCTAAGGGTATTTTTGTCTTGTAAAGCTCAAAAGTGAAAAGGTATATAAAAACACTGAAGAGAAACTTGGCCTATACATCTACCACCTACCTGAAAATGGGCAGAAGGACTGGGTAGAAGATAGTCAGATGAACATTCCTTTCTTTTAAAATGTGCACAAGAAATTTCCTAGCAGACATGCTATTATGGACTCAACTCTAAACCTAGCCAACTATTTGCAATGTGTACTCCATTCAACACAAGAAATCTGGGCCAAAGTTTAGATGAATTTGCAGAAATCCATTACCACTAGGGAAAAGAGAAAAAAGAGAGGCAAAAATGTACGCCTCACTAATCCTGGGTTGGGGACGCTGCTATGTATGGGTGCAATCTCTAGGGGTAGAATGCTTGTTTGGAAGCATCAGAAAGACATTCAGCCACAACCTGTACTCCAGAATCCCAAAAACTCATTTAGTTTTGAAAACGATCAAGTTTACTAGCTTTAAACTCTAGTAGTCTGTGTCCACTCATTCACAAATATTCACTGAGCACTCAAGTGCCAAGGTATCATACTCATGCTATAAAAACCGACATTTAGTGGGAGAAACTGAAAGGTAAATAGATAATTAGAATACAACATGGTAATCTTGCAATGGGGGTAAATAAAACAAAGTGCTAGAAAGATATAAATTATCAATAAGGAAATATTATTGGAGCTAATAATCAGTTACAACAGAAAAAACGTGTGGCATTTTAAAAATTTTCCAAATTACATTAATTTAAAGTAAACATGGTCAGAGCGGGACTCAGAAGATATGTCTTTCTACAAATTCTCTGTGACTAAGACTGACCTGCTCCCTTTACTGATGTATTTCTGGCCTAAACCTCTCCTTGCTAGCTATTTTACATTCTTGTTTTTCATCTTTATTTTTCATTTATCTCTCTGGCTGTTTTTATCTGTAAGATAAATGTTGCCACAGAAAGTCAT